GATTTTGTCAACGGCCTGGTTGAGGGTTTGCATGGCCGAAGTTTGAGACGCGATCTGCCCATCAATTTGTTCTTGGAATTCCTGGAAACGAGCGGAAGTAACTGTGGCGGACTCCATGGAACTCAATGAAAGCACCAGTGATACGAAACGTATCAGATAAGGGAGGCTTAAAGCGCCTCCGAGCTTGAGAACGGGGGATACGGGAAGAGAGAAGAACGCCGCGGCCGGAAGCCGAGCAAGAGACGAGAGGGTTTAGGGTTTTGTATTTTTATTCCTTCCTTAAAGTAATATTGGTCCCTCTCCTTTTATAATGAGGAGGCGTCCCAACCCTAGTAAACCCTAGTTTAATCTACGTTATCTATCCTGACGGTTCAAGAAAAGCGACGAGGTAAAGAACCGTAAAGAAACCCTCGAAGGAGCTTATAATTCGCTCACCTAACAAAAACCTAAATACATTAATGAATAAAAGATGTAAATGAATAATTAAATAAAATAAACTAATCCATCTCGAAGTCTCGCTGCCACCCCGGTGCACGCCGCACCCGTTCACTCCTACGGATACTGGTGTCCTCGACTCTCGAGTCCATAACATAACAAATGGTCAATTTTCCAGCATTGATTCAGTGCGTTTAACAAAGTATTTCTTTTAAAAATCATCCCAAATATGACTAAAACATAGAGAAAAGTACTAAAATAGGACTTTCATTTTTTTTTCCGAAATAAGACTTTGCACTGTGGTAATGTGACTTTGCATTGTGGTAATGTGGCAGTGTACATGTGCACATTACTATACTTTTTTGGTAATGTATATGACCATGTTTGGTAATGTAAGCCCTATTTTGGGAATACAAAATGGAAGTCCTATTTTGGTATATTTTCAATGTTTTAGTCATACTTTGGTCTTTCTCCCTATTTCTTTACGGCAGTAATGTTCTTTATTAGGGGCATTTAATGCAAGTAATTGAAGTGTATGTTTTGTGGCTCAATGTAAAAAATAATGATAAAAAGTTGTGGTTCAAGAAATATTCTTAAAATATCGTGAACAACTCACACGCGTGGCTCTAAGAGAATTGATTAACCCCCTTTTTCTTGAGATTCACTTAAGGCTCTAGACTCAATGGACTTCGTGATTTGCCCATTGAGTGAATAATTTAATGTAGTGAATAATTGAACATGTCATCCAATTAATGGTTCGTGGCTTAATATAAAAAATAATGATAAAACTTTGTGGTTCAAGAAACATTTTTAAAATATCTTGGACATTAAGACCAAGAAAAACCTAGCCGCAAGGTCATAATGTCTTCACAATTTCTCAAAAAGTTACCCGTTTATTTGATCTATTTCTATCCATACACGTTGACCAATAGTTTCTTCACCCAAACCCAAACCCGACGTCTTTGGAGGGAAAGTGCACTCTTCATTTTCTCCCTTTGCTTTTGTATATTAAAAGATGTATGTGATTCCTTTGACGAATAAGGAAGGTCCATTGTTTATGTTTTTCAAAAAATGCAACGCGCGCCTTGAAACTCGATCAATCTGGTCGAGTTGATCAATTTAATTAATTAATTAGTGATTCAGATCCAAAAGTTAGATAACTGTAAAGGTTTGTAATTAACTATCGAGTTTTAATATTTTGTAGAGCTGGATTGTCTGATTCCCTAAATTCAAATAGATTTGAAAACGATGCACGTTTTCTTAGAAAGTAGAATTTAAATCGAATCAAATAATTATTTTTGGGGCAAATATGATACTTCCTCCATCTCTAAATATGATGTGAAAGTTTTTGGTGTGTCGTATTACACCGAAAACCTCGCTCAAAAAGAGATGTGAAGTAAGATGAAAATGGTGGATGGAAAACGTAAATGGAATGAGTATAGTGGTGGAAGTAAGGGATGTTGAATCCACGGGGATAACGTTATTGGTTAGGAATCGAGTGCAACGTGCAACTAAACACTAATATGAAATTGTAAAAGGTGAATCAAGGCCAAATAGAAGGAGAAGATGAATGATATGCAAGTGGAATGAACTAAAGTAACACAATGAACAACATTAAAAATGAAATGCAAGGAGTAAAATTAAAGCAAGCCTAGATTAGGAATTTCATGCTAACAATGCTATTGTCAAAGGAATAGAGGAAAATGGGAAATCAACTAGAATTCGAGCAAATCACCGCGATTCTCACTTCCGTAAGAATGGATAAAGAATCCCCTTGATAAGAACTTACTTCTGTGGCACTCGTCTCAAGAGAACTACAAACATAGATATAACATAATCCCTACAAATAACCTAAAGCGATATCTCATATTTCACACTAATCCATCAACAACAAGCACAAATCAACAGTTCATTCCTAACCTAGGCTAGAAAATCTAGCCTAGCATGCTCAATCTAAATGAGATGCATAAAGATAAGAGAGAAACAAATAAACATAATATGAAGGAGATGAAGTAAATAAAAGCACTAAGGAACAAGAAGTAAATAAAATCTAACTATAAGGAACAAGAAAATAAACATTCAAGTGTTAATATACAGAGTATAAAATTGGAACTCCCCAAAATAAAATAGCATTATGAATTATGATGATGAATAAACCCTAGCTTAAAAGAGAGAAATAGAAAAATGGAGGAACTCCCCTAACAAGATGGAACAGAAGCCAACCACACAACCTCTTTGCCGGCTCCACATACTGAGCAAAATTATTACTCGAAAATATACCCAATACGTAAGCCCCAAACCAGCCGCGGCGCCGCGTGAAGAGCCACAGCGTCATAAAAACAAACAGTTTGGATACGGGTCCAACAAGCCACCGACACATAGCCTAAACCCCCCTCTGGAGAAAACAAAAAAGCCCCCAAAAACTGCAACTCCCAGAGAGAAAGAGAGAGATAGAGAACGAGAAATGGTGGGGGAGAGTTCAGGGTACAAAGACTACGTAGCCGGGATGTTAGCCGGAGTTGCCACTGTGATCACCGGCCACCCGTTTGACACAGTCAAGGTATTTATTTCCATTTCCGCCAATTTCACTTTTATCTTCTTCTGAGTATATCTCTGTTCTGTCGCGAATTGATGAAATCGAGAGCTTTCGTGGTTAAGGAATAAGTTTGCAATTTGTGTTTGTCAGGTAAATCTCCAGAAACACAACACTTCTGCCGACGGTATCAAGTACAGGAATGGATTGCACTGTGCTGCTAGGATTCTCAAGGCTGAAGGAGTATATGATTCCAACTTTTTTTTTTAAAATTTCAAAATAACTTTTCGGGTATAATTGTGAATTGCTCATTATTCTGATGTGTTGTGGATTCTCTTTGTGTGCTTCATGACAGATATTTAGTGCTCTATAGCTAGATTGATCATTTAGAGGAAAGATGGAGGGATCGTTTATTGGCGGAGAGTAATGGAATTAATTGAGTCTTGAGTTAGAGACTTGGAGAAAGATTTGATAATTCTCATTTAATTAGCTTTTCTAGAAGTCGTGAAAATATGACATCACAATAGTGTCATCCCTTACCTCATGAATCATGATGACATCCTCTCTTAGATCACGATTACAGCATTTTTTAGTGCTGTTAAGTCGATTGCAATGTAGTATTTGTTCATACTGTTCTCAACCAAATGATACACAATGAGTCAATGCTTCCTCCTCCGTTGGGGCTCAAACCAGGTTGATCTTCCCCATGAATCTTGTTGAGTGGGCTTCCTACCGCTCAAACCAAGGGAGAAGTTCACAATTATGGCATTGATGTATTTGTTTTGAACTAGTTAGCTGTAGCAATGTGGAAAAGCTATCCAAGGTTAACTTACTAGCCTTTGGTTTTGATGTTTCTAAACTTGACAAGATGTGTTACAACTTACAAATATTTTCTGCTCTTAGCTTTTGCACATTTTTCAAAGTCTCTCCGCTAGGTTTTATTATGTGTTTGCTTTTCAGTAAAATAGGTATGATGCTGACATGTGTCTTAAGTCATTCCCCCCAAAAAAGTCTCATTTTTTAAAATTCCAAGTCACTAATTGGTAAGTGCTTTTCACAGGTGAAAGGGCTATATCGAGGAGCGTCATCTTCTTTTGTTGGGATGGCTTTTGAAAGCTCATTTGCTTTTGGAATTTATTCACAGACAAAAAGGTTCCTTCAGGTTTGTTATGCGGTTATTATTTGGATAACCTTATTGACCATTGCTATTTGCCGATGTCTCTTACATCCAAAGTTTCAGACTCTGACAAACCTTATTTCTTTTGTTTGAAGGGAGGCATTGATGGTGGCCAGCCACAGGCTAATGTAATTATTCCATCAGCTGCATTTGCAGGAGGTTTAATCAGCTTTGTATTGTGCCCTTCAGAGCTGGTTAAGGTAAGCATTCTCACATTAGTTCTTTCCATCATATTGCAGCGTTATTCTATTAAGAATTAAGATTGTCTGCTCCAGTGTAGGATGCAAACTCAAAGCACAGGCTCTCTGCTACCAAGGTCGACTAGATACAGCGGTCCTCTTGAATGCGCCATTAGAACAATAAAAAATGAAGGGGTAAGTCGCAAGCAAAAACTTGCTCAAAGTTTTATTGCTCTGGTCTCGTTCAGTAATGAGTCCATTGGAGAGCTTTTAGTTTTTTCAGCTCAAATTTGCTGCTTGACTATTTCAAGAAACTAAATTTAATGTTTGGTGAACATTGTTTTTAAATGGTTATAGTAGATGAAAAATCTAATTTTGAAAAGCGTACATTCGAAGCTTTTTGAAACAAAATCATTTTATAAATAAAAAATTATGAGGAATAACTAATTCTGAGTACCAAACATCTTTGTATTATAATCAAAAGTTAAAAAATTGGTAAAAACAGCTAAAATAAACAAGGAACGTCAATGTTCAAACGGCTATCACAATTAGCTAACAGTGCAATGCAAACAGCTAGTTGCCAAACATGACCATACTGATCAAAGCTGAAAAAACTGTCCCCAGGTTAAAGGTATATTTCGCGGGGGCTTTGCGACCTTGTTAAGAGAATCTGTGGGAAATGCTGTCTTCTTTAGCACATATGAATATGTACGTCATCAGATGCATCTTCAACTGAAAGGGGCTTCATCTAAGTCAAATCAATTGGTTGATGTGGGAGTTGGCATAATGAGTGGAGGCATTGGTGGTATATTGGTGTGTATGAGTATTATTTATAATTTAGCTCTAAATGTCTGGAAGCTTACTGCTCCACCTGATTTATCTGATTTACTTCCCATCTCTCCCATATTGTTTAACCTTTTAGTTTTGATCTGTGCTATAATGACACATGTTTTTCTTAACTTCGTGCTAATCAGTGCTGGTGTGCTATTCTGCCATTGGACGTCGCAAAAACTATAATCCAAACTACCCCTGAGAAAAACCATACACGCAATCCTTTTCAGATTTTACAAACGGTATTTAGCTTCATCCTTTAGGCTATGTTTGGAACTAAAAAAATGGCAGGAAAAGGGGAAAAATACTAAGGAAACTAGTCTTTTGATGTGTAGCTTTACTCAGGAATATATGAAGATATATACATACATACATACATACATACATACATACATACATACATACATACATACATACATACATATATAGGTGTGTGTGTGTGTATATAGAGCTATATTTCATTGTTTTTAAATAATACTCATCCGTCCTGGTTTTGACTTTTGTGGTCAACATTTTTAAAGTTTTCCTGCAAATTAATGAAAAATATATTGAATTGTGATATAAATTTAGTATCAATAGATTGATTTTGAAACGTAGTTTTGAAACATCTTATTTTTATAATACGGAGTATATGTTTATATATAAATAGAGATATTAATGGCCAAAGTGTTGCATTGAAGACAATGAAAAGTCAAAGAAAAATATGGGATGGTGGAAGTAGAAAAATTTCTGAGATCCAAACAAACCCTTAGGTTTTTATTGTAGCGATGGTTTTAAAGCAGAATGCTTGAATGACTCGTTGTGTTAAGATTTACAGGGTATCCGGACTTAGAGGGTGTTATGCTGGCCTAAGCCCTACTCTAGTTAGGGCTTTCCCAGCTAATGCTGCTGCCATAGTTACATGGGAGCTTTCGGCAAAGATCTTAGGAATGAGCCGTGATTAAAGCAGTTTCAAAATTGGTTGCCAACTCATTTAGGTATTTTTCTGATGTTGTTGGTTGAATGCTTCATTCTTGACAAGGCTCGACTATGCTTCCATTGTTTAACTAATCTGACATGTCATTTCACATGCTTCTTAATGAGCATCACAACATAGGTTCTTCTGGAAAAAAACAGATTGATCAATTTCATTGTATTGGCTGTTTATCTGTGCAGGATTTTTTTGGCCTTTTGTCATAAGAAGGCTCGGTCTGGCTTGGTTGGTGTGTCTTTAGAAGGTCGAAGAGTTTTCATCCTGGTATTGTGTTTGTGAAGGATGCTTTCTGTGACGAGGAGGTAGTCAAAAGGCTTTTTGCAATACACGAAGCACGAAGACATGATTTTTTCTAGTAGGAGATTTAGTCTGCAATGCTTATTGTATACGGAGTAATATTTATTTCTTGCAATCTGAAAGAAGTTAGACAATGTCGATTACAAGGGAATGTAAAATTCTTCATGCAGTGAAATTTGTGATTATTGAATAATGAAACATTTGATTTAGTGGTTTACTATTCCACTTCTCTTTTTAATCTATGTGACTAGAACCAGTATATGCTGAGTTATAACAGTGGTCACACACACACACACACTAAGTGGAACAAGGTTACTTAATAACTAAGCACTGACATTATGTAAATGTAAGGTATCTTTTTGAAGAATACTATGAAAGTTATGCTAAGTGGTACCATGAAAGAGAAGGTAGTGTTCAGTTCATCAATTGTCACAAACTTTGTTTTCGATTCAGGAATGCAACATTCCGAGGATTTAAGCTAAGTCTCTGAGGTGTCAAAGGTTGAATTCAAATAGAGGTTCAATATACTAGTAGTAGAATGGAAAGCGAAGACGTAAAATTTTGAAGTTGCCCACTCACGAAGATCGCTTCAAAGGTACATCACTTTTGCTCTTAGTCTCATTTTCACTTTTTTTTATGATTATTATCCTGTAAAGGAGCATTTTTTGTGGTGCAAGTGTATAATGATATGTATGATGACTCTTCTAGTGATTAGTTGCATATGCCTTAGCTGATTCATGCTACAAGCAGTGTTCTAATTAGCCCGTTGACCCAAATAATATTGTTGATAACCAAAATCTCTACCATTGACCATTGGTAATAATCAATATTGCTCGCCAATGATTGTCGTTATTGTGTACTGTCGATGAACACCACCACCACCACCACTGACCATTGCCACCATCAACCCGGTAGCATATGCATAATATTGCTTGTAAACATGTTTTCTATAGTAGAAAACAAAATAAGGGGAAACATAAAAGAGATAGTGGAATATAGAAAACTAAACAAAACAGAAAACTTGAAGACAAACAGAAATGAACAGACCCATATATCCCTTCGGGGACTGTTGAAGCATTGATGATGATAGAATATTCTATGTAAAATTTGAGAAACATTCAATTTCTAATGGGTAACGGAGTCCTTTGATGAATTATGCTGTTGGGATGCTAAATATGAAGAGTATTCTAACGATTTAGTTAAGACGGAGTATATGAAAATCATGAAGAGTATAATCTTTCAACAATGCTTAACTAAACCCCATGGGACGTGGTTAACAAGAGTAAATAAATACACCACCACAACTCATACTTTAATTATGCAGACCACATTTCTATATATGTCTATATTTTAGAAATTTGAAAAACAAGGTTTCTAAGAGCAGGAATATTTACCGAATGAGCCTATGATGAGTGAAAGTGAGATCTGAAAGTAGCATTTCATTATAAAATATGCTCCCTCTGTGCACCACAAAGTCATTTTTAAAAATCACAGATTTGTTCACTAATTTTGTTAAATTTATCACATTTAAATTGTTTCTTTTTTAAAAAAAAAACATAAAAATCAGTTTGGCTTGATCGAATGCAACTCTATTTTTGCGATAAAAAATTATTGAAACAAGACCGTTTTTTTGGACGGGATGGAGTAGTAAACTCCTTATAAATGCTAATATTCTTCTCCATATATCCCTCCCATTGGGAGATGGGATTGGATAGAGGCAAGAATCTGTAACTGAAGTTTTGCACTATAAGGGCTGACAGAAGATAGAGATCACTCCACAAATTTCACCAATAAGTTATGTGCTTCACATGCTAATAATCTTCTTATGAGTTCAAACAAACTAGGGAGTTGGTATTGTCTCCCATTGGTACTATATCTTTAGCTCGAGCCTTCTGCATGAGAATCATTTGTAGCTCTCCGTCGGCGCTCATTGTGACCTGCCAAACGCCTCCTGCAACTCCTCTTAGCATTATCAAACTGCTCTAACTCATGAAACCTGAACACATAGAGTGTACACGATGACGAATACGAAGAAAAATTGCTCCTTCAAATTTAAACATTTTGGTAATGTATTTGAGGAGACAAAATTGCTAAGAAAAATTTTCTTATGTTTGGTTTTACTATGGAAACTCCAAAGAATATGGAATGTGAATAATTCTTTTCAAACAATACATACAATTAGATTTCCTAGTTCTTATATATAATAGGCATAAATAAACAAAATGAGTATAGATACAACAACCCAGTATAATCCCAACACCAACACGGGTGGATCAAGATGTATGCGGTCTTATCCCTGTAAAGACAGAGCGACTGTTTCCATTAGACCCTAGATGCATAGCTGCATAACCTGCATTTACTGTCCAAAACTTGATAGAAACTGAGAAGCAAGGGAAGTTTATTTTTCCATTTTGATATATATATGATAAATATCTAAAATATATTTATCAAGAAATATCCTTCTCTAATTTTCGTCCGCATTTTTTCTCCTTCCAAGTTCCAATATTAATTTTCAAGTTCCAAACTGACCTTGGGAGTAAGAGATCTTTGAGGACCTGGTGGCAGGGTGGAACTTGAAGTGATTAAATGCAATGGTGAAAATGGAAAATATGTTTTTTTATGTTTTTGTTTATTGATCATTTTCTAGGATCTATAGAATTATTTCTTCAATTCACTGATTCATAACTCTAAATTGGTATATGAATTGCATCTGTAGAATGGTAATCGAAAGCAGGGTATGTGTCTTTTTACCTGCTGCATTGCTGACAGAAACGCTGATGGACTCCATTGATAAGTACTGATGGAGCCTTTGCATGAACCTCGCAGACCTTGTGGCGGCGATGGTAAGGCTTCACATTGTTCATGTCCGTCCCGCATCCTTCCACCTGACAGAACAGCTGTGCCACCGCCACTCCACCAGATGATGGCTTCCTTCCAGATACAGTCAATGCTCTCTTCTTCTTGTTGTCTTCCTCAACATCTTCACTTTCATCCTCTTCTGCCAACACGGTTTCATTTATGCTTCTTTTCCCATCTGATTTGCTTGTTTCCATTTCTTTGGTGGCAAATGAAGATGGGAAGTAACTCATGCAGGAAGAGAAATGAAGAAGACAGAAGAATGGGAGGCTCAAGGAAGAAAGACAGGAAGTGAAGAATATGTGAGGACCAATGGGCTTCATACTTTTCCTCTCTAGGTGGCTTCTAATAGTGGAGTACTGGCTTTGAGGTTAAGGTAAGTCCCAATTAATTCGACAATTAGCCACTAGTTACCAGCTACACTGTATGGGCTGGCCAAATATTAAGTGTGTGTTTGAGAGGGTGGAAAGGTGGGAAGAAAATGGAAGTCACATTTTCCATGAATTTCATGTGTTTGGAGGGTGGGAAATAGGAATGGGTCTCTTAAAGTTTTACCCCAAATTAGAGGAAATCCAATTCTTTTCTTTTTAACCATATATATTCCCTTTTTTACCTACTAAACAACTTTAGTATAAATATTTCTTTAGTCCTACTTTATTTTCTTTTCAACCCAACTTTTACTTCTACTCCATGGGCCTGTTTGGGAATAGCGTTAGAGATTAGCGTTAGCGTTTTGAAAAGGCTATCTACGGCCGGCGTTTAGCGTTAGCGTTTTCAAAGTAATCTGCACCGTTAAAATCTTATCCAAAACGCTAACGCTAATCTCTAACGCTATTCCCAAACAGGCCCCATATCTTTTTGTCACCAATTTCACTTGTCTTTTTCTCACTTACCTACTTCATCTCCCTTTATTTCTTCTCCATCTACCAAACACACTCTAAATCTCCTTGTATGTAGTATTGCAGAAAACCTGATATGCATCAATAAAAGTCTTAGAACAAGAGAGTTCAGATAGTTATGTTCTAGTGTTACCTTAGACATCTGATACATTACGATTAGGAGTTTTGGATGCACACGAACTTCTCATATAACGCAAATTTTAAAAAATAAATCATATAAATGCTTATTAATCGCATTAAAAAAATTCATGTGCGCCTTATGTGCGCATAAGAACTTGCATATGATGAGACAACCCGTGTTGCTTTTTGTGTGAGGAAAAGAAATTTCGTTGACTTGCTCCGCATCAGCATTTGCGGTTTAATACCACAATGTGCTAAATATCAGACACTAGAATATTTTTAAAAGCCTTTGGGCACAGTGGAGCCAAGAAATTCAAATTTTAAAAAAATAAACATAAAAGGACAGCTGTAAAATACTTAAATCTGAACAGTGATTTGTACAAATAGATAGTTGGAAGTGAGCTGAAAGTACTTTGAATGTGATGGGTGATAGATGTTGGGAACTTCTCTTATTGGTCATAGCTTTCCATACACAAACCTCAAACTTTAATGCTGCAGTAATGTGACCATGCAATTATTATATGGGAGAGAAAATGGTGACCATCAGTAACATAGTACACGAGTCATAGATGAGCATTTATGAACTGTGATGCTATCTGTATTGAGGTTTTCTTTTTGGTAGAACATCCCAACTAATTACTCCCTCCGTCTGGAAACGACCTTTTCATTTGATTTTTCTCGGTTTCTAATGTAACACTTCGACTATTAATATCTACATTTGTACATGGATATATTTTATAAAAATGCAATAATCTCCAAAACTGCGTTTCATATGAAAACTATTGGTATTACATTTATGTCAAAACACTGTATTTTTTCAAATATCAAGGTCAAAGTTTGTAAACTTTGACCAAGAAAAGTCAAATGAGAAGATGTCGGACGGAGGAAGTGTAATTAATTAGGAAAATGAATTTTTTATGCCATAGTTTCATACCACTGTGGCTCATAGACATGCACAAACAATGATTGTACAGATACATATAATGATTATTTGTTCATGTGTGTGCGGGTACATATAATGACTATTTGTCGGTGCATGTTTGAGAGACACGATGATGTCATCAATCGTATCAAAAGACTTGTCTTTAAGCGAAAGAAATACCGGTGGCGTACTAATTTGAATTGTCTACACATAAAAAGCGTCTCTAATTGATTACACCACCTCTTGGTCACATCCCACTTTTCTCTTTAGGGAATGCAATTAGTTAGAGACTTGTCATTAACTAATCAACCTCAATATTAGGGCATAAAGGATCTAGGTTAAATATATATAGAGCATATATTGTAACATTATAGGCACAATTGATATAGATACCAATTTTAGGATCATTGTTGCCCAATATTGTTGTGGTATGAAAGTGAGTCTCTCCGAAATTTAACCACTTTGGGGATGGTTTAGTAACTTCACTATTTAGTAACACACAACTTTCAATTTTAATTCCAATTTCATCTTTTAGCCAAGCACCCCTTTGGGCTTGACTTTCCGGCAAAGTCCATTCTTGCAAAAGCAAGTACTGTAATCTTACTTCGGAGTTTCGGGCATGTCCATTATTTCTAATTGAGCTAAAATAATCATTTTTGGCAAAGTTTTTGTTTTGCTAAATAATACTCCCTAATATATTAAGGGCCTGATCTCTTCGTTTTTTTTCCTACTTCTGATTCTTATTGAAATCAAATCAAAGATTGGAACAAATCAGATCAGATGAAAAAGAAATGTCACATTAAAATTTTCTCACTTTTTACGATGTTTTGAGCAGTACATGCATCAACGCATCAAGGGTCTAATAGAAAGCATGTCTTTGCTTTACATGGGTGATGTTGCGTATATCTTGACCTCAACGATGTTGAGATTATACTTGCAATGGGGAAAAAGAATGAACATGGTTTGTACGTACTAAAGACAAATCTCACTTCTGATTGACAAGTACATAATTATACGTCAATTTACGTTCTCTTAGTTTAATTTACTGTCTGAGCCAATATTGAAGATTTTAAGGGATAGGGTTCATTTTTTTGTTATATAGTTTAGATGTGTCATTTTGTCCTATGGAAGTGAAGGGGCAATGTGAGCATGGCCCAATGATTAATTAACCATGTCCAATCGTACTCTCCAAACACATGCTATAAGTTTTGTCTAATTTGAGTTTGTCATGTGCCAAATTTCATTGAATCAGAACCAATTGTTTTGTAGCAATGTGAGGAAGTAGCTTTCTTGATTACAATGGGGCCATAGCTCTTGAAAGAATTAGAATTGATTGGAAATGATGGAAGAGTGGAGTCTTGTTCTATTCTCCTTTCTTTTCACAATTCATTGCTATGATGCGGTTAAATGGATGTTCTAAAACTCAATAAAGCTTATTGAACTCCATAAATCGATATCTAAATCGATCTTAAGAAATTCTTGAAAAATTGAAAACAAAATCAAAAAATACCAAAAAGAAGAAATACAAAAAAAATGAAGCCGTAATTAGTTCGATATTTGGGAACGATAGGAGGTAATTTCCCATATCGGAATGAACATATATACCAATATTGATGGGTGTATTTACACTTGTCGTGACCCAGTTACGGTCTACCAGAAACTCGTCCGGGTGGATTTCTAGATTGACACGATAAGTAAAGGAGATAAGAAAAGTTGACCCGGTCAAAGTATCATGAAGCCTACCCGGGTGTAATCTCCGTGACCATGTATACCCGAGGGCAGCTAGCCTGACCTTCAAAGTTTACCCGGGTTTAGCCGCGTAGAGGTAACCTTACTAGGTTGGGTCCCATGCACCTACTCGATGTAATAATAGCAGAGAAAGTAAAGTGTAGTGACTTGATCGGAGTATCTCGAAGACTGCATGAGTGTAACATCCATGACTGGGTGAAAAGCACGATATACCTTGGAGAGATCACCCGGGTAGCTTTGGACCAAAACCCATCCGGGTGGATTCTAACCTTGTACGACGACAATAGACCTACCATAATAATCTAGTCGTATTTACCTGGTGATGGGTGTATTTCACCTAAACCACGACCTGGGTCGGGTCGAGCCAGGTGCAACTGGGTGAACCTCGAACAATACGCAACCAGGTAGCTTGGGTGGATCTATACATAACCTAGTCCTGGATGTAGACCACTTAAGTGACTTTTAGGCGATTGGACATGTAGCATGGCACTGCAAATAAGATCCTCAAATGATCAGGATATCTCCTCTAGGAAACCACCCGGGTGGATTTCCAGAGCTTGGTGTACTAACATGATAATGACCCAGCATGATTGAATGGAGATAAGACCAACCGGGCAAGACCCATACAATGCGCACCAAGAATGTTGGGCGAGTCTAAACACGCCTCGGATCGGGTCCAACCTGACCACCCAGGTGACCCGTGGGAGACTGGTCGAGTGGCATGACACGATTAAATCATCGAACAATCAGATAACATCCTTCAAGAAACCACCCGGTTGACTACCTGGGCGACCAGTTAGGTAGCTTTTCATCGCAGAGGATTTTCAAGTGAGCAAGACAGTCCCCCGAGGAACCGACCAGGAGAATTTTTAAGACTTGTACTGACTTGTACGTGATGACAACCCAACACGGTTGGATGGTAGCGGCTTGGAAGCGACTGGGCCAGGCTAGATTCATCTGCACTAGCAGGCTTTCCCAAACATTCTCACCCAAGCAATACACGCCAAGGATGACAGTCATAGAGGAAAGCATCCAGGAAGGGACAAACGCTACAAGACAAAGAAATGTCAGGTCATCACGTGGTAAGCACATGGCTAGGCATGGGTGTCTGCCACCCTGTCCCCTAGCTTCACTATAAATAGGCTTGTAACCCTCAATAGAAGGGGCCAAATTTCATCTCCCTAAAAGCATATTGTGTAATACTTCCTTATACTCTTCTCATACTTAATACTCCCTCCGTCCCACAGTTTTTGTCCACTTTCATTTTTACACACCATCCAATGCACTTCTTTAATCCATTTTATCTTGTAATTTGTATATTAAAAAATTATAGAAATTATGTATTAATAATCTATATGTTAAGACAAATCAAACAAGATCACACATGACTATATTTAGGCTTACACGTTGAGAGAATTTGCTGACTCAAAGTGCTTAGATGAACAGTTCCAAAAGTCAAAAGTGGACAAAAACTGGAGGATGGAGGGAGTAACAATTAGACTACAGGTATTCTCACCTACAGTTCTCTTAGTCAACCTTTGTTTCCTAAGTCTTTTCAGTATCTAAACTTAGCAAACCACATTAAACCCGGTCTAGTGTAGTTTGCTCGGGTGGTAATTTACACCATGAAATATATTATAAATATAGTACCCGTAGTATTCTTTTTTTTTTCCTTTTTTAAATAATA